CCTGAAAATACCTAATGCTTGTGACCTGGGCTTGCTGTAGATCAAGGTGGTAAAGGTGCAAAAGAGCCCTTTTAAGGTTCTTGTTGTACCAAATTATGGGTAATTCCTGTTTTCTGTTGTTCTCTCTTGACAGCAGATCTGTTCCCAGTCTTCACAAAGTAAATCCATGTTCTTTGCATTATTTCTGCTCTAAATGTCTCTGTCTTGATTCTCATCACTCCTTTGCTGTAAGAGCATTGGGACAGGCTGATCTCCTGTTTCATCCTGGAAGAGCGTATCTAGAAAGTTAAAATAAATGGTAAGCCTATAGCTACCTCCTTCATTTGTACTGCACACTATTGCCTGCTTTCTCTGCCCTTGCTCCACTCTGATGTGCAGCTGTCTTTGGAAACGTGAAGCATCTTCAGATTTCTTAATCTTTTGGCTTCTGGTTCCTACTCTTAAGCTTTGTGCCTTCTAATCTTTTTCTATGTTCCCTCAATATTTCAATGGGATGTTCCACCCCACGTGGAGGCAGTGCTGGAAGCACAGTTCATAGTGCCTGACACCCTGGACCCCGGCTAATAAGCAGCCAACAATTCATCCAGTTCAATGGCACATCCTTAAAATCCCCTCAGAGTTTTTGGTAGAGGGGAGACAAGGCCACGCAGTTCCTGGAGAGTAGAGAGTGGGCTTTGTGCCCCTTCAAATGCATGTGCAATAAGTGAGACCCTCCACACCAATTCAGCCTTGCCAAAGAGTGCAGCAGGTTCTCTGCCCTTCCTGTGATCCCTTGGTGCAGTTTCAGTGATAATTGGCACTTGATGTTATGTCCTTGTTTGTGATACTGTTTGTGTAGTGGAATGTAATCCTGAAGCATTCAGGGGCAATATGGGAGGCTCTTAACTAGGTGCGTGTTAAACTCCATCCAACAGCTCAGTTAGGAATGACCTCTGACCCTGCTGCGAGTGGGCTCACAAGGTGTGAAGGGTTTGGTGCTGCTGTCCAGTTTTTGCACCTATAGGCTGCCCTCCACTCCTTTTTGAGTATGTCCAAAGTGGCATGAAATAATCCCATTGATAATATCTTAGTGAGTTTTGATTGTCAAGGCCTTCGCACGTAAGGTTGGCTGGCTGTGGTTTTGGAGGCTTGTCTGCATTGGTAAGAATTGGGGGTTTTTTGTTGTTTTAATTGCAGCAGTGCCAAGAACTTAGGCAGGATCCTGCTGTGCTGAGTAATGTACAAGTGCTGAACAGAAAGCAAACGTTTCTCCAGTATTTACCATTATTCCCACTTCTCTGGGAAGCTGCCCTCTCCATTTGGAACATACATTTGCTCCAAAACCTGCCACTCTCTAACCTCTTGGTTTTTTACCCCCTATTCCTGTCACCTAACGAGGAGCCACCTTCTTTCTCTCTCTTAGTCCATCCACATCCTTGACAGCACCACTTAAGCACAGGGAAACTATTCCCCACAATCTTTTGCTGACCCAAACCAGTTGAATGGGATTCTGTCTTGATTCACTTGAGAGAGTTGCTGCCCTCTGAGGCTATATGGAAGGGTCAACACTCGGAACTTCTTCAGCTATCTCTAGCTTTTGCTTACCTGGTCTCTGGTCAGTATTTTCACCGTTCATAATTTCTGCAACTTTTTAAGAACTTGTTTTGAAGTCAACAGGAGTTGTATGAGATACTTTGTTCTGTGCAAAGGACTGAGATGGCAAAGGCAGTTGTGAGTGTAGATACACAAATCCAGTAACACCCATTTCTGTACTTTTAGAACATAGTTGCAGTAACAGCTGAAAGTCCCAAACAGGAGCAGGATTTAGGTGGGAAGTAGGTGTTGCTGTAACCAAACGAGGGCACATAGGGAGGAAAAGCACCAAGCGTGGGGATACAGGCTCGGTGTGTGCTCCTTGGAGCTGCTGCTGCTGTGGGAGTCTGACTTGGTGCCGTGCCCTGTCTCTATCAAAAGAAATAGAACAGGGCTGATCTGTATCAAGCGCAGCAAACTGGATGAATATGGCATTACTTTTTCAAATATCATCTCCTAATAAGGTTCCCCTCTGCTCAGTTTCACTGTTTGTAATCCAGACCTAATTAAGAGAGGTTTTTAAACCTTCCCTTAATATCTTAAGTGATTTTTGTTTCTTTATCAGGTGTGTCTGATTTTTTCACTGCTCTAGATTCATGTGGACCGCAGTCTTAATGCTCTCTATAAAGCTTTCCTGTGTTTCTGGTTACTACTTCTTCCTACTTTTAAATTCATTTTAATCCTTCCTCGTATCCTGCTTTTAGACAGGGCGATGGGATCTGTACACATTTGATAGCATCCTGTTGATTTGTAAAATGGCTTCTAATATATTTTTTATGCATTTAGATGTTTTCTCAGCTTTTTTTATCTGCCTGCAGGCAAAGACCAGTATTTTCATGGAATTGCCCACACAGATACCCAATTTAACTTACAAATGGGGGCATATGAATAATTAGGATTATCCTTTGCAGTGGTGATTAGTTGAGGTTAATCATTGCTGAAATGCATGTGTTAGTGTGTTTAGAGTTTCTTTTGTGGCTGTATCTCTACAGGAAAGATGGGGAGAAGGAGCATCAGTTCCAACTAGCCCTAAATGTACAGGCTTTGTCATTTGCCATTGTGTTGGCAGCCTGATACTTGCCCCTTTCCTAGGATAGCTGTTAGATCTTTCTCATAGCAAAACAGGACACGTATTACCTATGCAAATTCTACTTGGGTTCCTTTATACAGTTTACAACCTGAATGGTTGGCTTTTTAGATGTAGTGAAATTTGGAGTGTCTTAAAGTTTAGCTGCTGAGCTTTCTGCTGGTGGGTGGATGCTGTGTGCACCCATAAGCATGGCACATCCTCACCAACGTGGCCCACATCGAATCCCAACAGAACAACGATGCTGGAGGGTGTGCTGGCCTACCCTCATGCATTTCCTTGGTCAGCAGAAGCCCTTGGGCTTGTTTTGGGACTCAGGTGGGCTGGTGCTGGGTTTGCTTTGTGCTTACGCATACCCTGCTGGGATATTCTTTCCCCTTGGTGGCAAGAGGACATTCTGCCTTTGCAGCAAGGGTAGCAGTGGCATTTGATTTCCTTGGGGTTTTTTAAGGTATGGTGGTTGCAACTACTGCCTGCGGAGCATGTTAAGCCCCTCAGGTCAGTAATTTGCTGATAAAGTGGTTTATAAGTCTTTAAAATGTAAGGCAGAAAGCAGCAGACATTTAAAATAACCTCTAGCCCTCAACAGACCTAGCAGCTTTGCTTTTTGCTTAAAAGCTCCTTCAGCTGTCCTCTTATCTGTAGCATTACATTTGGTCCTTTCTGCTCAGACAACTGAAGTCTGAGATGGCTTTTGCTGGCAATCCTTCCATGCTGTCACTTGTTTGTCATCCCTTCTATTTAAATTCACCCTGCTAAAGCTGGATTTTTGCTGAGAGCTGTTATTTAATTATGCTGCTGCCAACAGACTCTCTCAGAGCTTCTTTGCACTTTAGGAAGTATAGAGACAATCTCTGCGATCCTCTTTCTAGTTGGAAGAGCATAGGGTGAGAGGATATTTGTTGGCTAAACACTCCCTCATTCTAATTCTGTAGCAGCAAAAGTGATGAGGTACAGAAGTACAGGGAGGTAAAAGGGAAATGAGTCTGATACCTAATGCACTGAGCCTGAAAGCTCAAGACAGATTTAACACAGATTGAACAGTTTCTTAGCAGTGGAATGTCAGCTTCTTCCCTTGTCACAGTGTACCTGGTGCCTCTTTAGCCTGCCTAAGCAAAGGGAAGGGTGGAAATCCAGCAGCAGTTTTGCACAGACTACTCTGATGCTCTGACTGAAGGAATATCTGGCCCTGAAGCATTTGGAAAGTGCTGGCTCAATCGGGCTTGGGGCATATTCTTCTCGGAGCCTACGTGGCGCTGAGCTGCAGCGCTGGGTTTAGGGAAGAGCTGCATCTCTTGTGCCAAAGCTCCCTCTCATGG